AGCAAACTCCAAACTAAAGAGAGGCCAGCTGTCTTCTGGCTCGCTTCGAAATTGCTCCTTGGTCGGTGGCAATGACTTTTTTCCCCTTTCTTTCTTTTTTTTTCCTCTCCTACAGCTCGATAGGAGTATCATATCGAGTCCCTGATCAGAGCGACCAGCTGTACGGCAAATGTGGATGGATCCATCTGGACCTCGAGCGCTGCAGGCTTCACTCCCCAGGCATTCAGGGGCTACTGGCTCAGGCCAAGGCCACATTCTCCCCCTCCCTCCCACACACGCCGCTCTCCTCACCACCAACCTGATTAGGATGTTACAAGTTTTCTCTTCCAGCATAGCGCTGCATGCTTTTGGTGCTGTTCGATGGCTTATCAATAACTGTGCATCTTCAAATAGACTAGGATTACACTGATTATGACAGCTGATTAATCAATAGTGAAAAATTGTTGATTTTTATTGTGGAGGTGCCATTTGTTCAGAAAAAAAAACACTCTATAATGCTCTATAATGTTTACATTATATTATTCCTAGAAACTGCAATAAACTACGAGAAAAACTGAGTCAATATGGCTTCTATTGCATTAAAGAAGGCATCACATGGCCCCTGCAAACTCTGCCCTAAAACAAACACAAAAAGGTCTTTACCATGTTTAAATGAAATTATATTCATGTTGCTTTCTTTTATTTTTGTGTTAACCATTTCCAGCACTGGCAGTTGGCAATCTTGAAATCTGGAGGTGCTACAACCCCCTAAGCACCCCCACTTCCCCCATCCCTGGCCCTCACTCAAACATGCCAGGGTAATGACAGTGAGTTGTGAGGTCACAGGGAAGACAAGTGCAGTGGTGGAACTCAAACCACATCACTCCCTGCTTTTCTATAGCCACCATGTCTCAGATTAGACTCTAAGGACTTCCTTTTTTTAAATTGTTTTGTGCTGGCTTTATGTGGCATCACATTGTCTATATATAGAGTTATCGGGGTGAATCAACAGCCATAAAGCAGGGAGCGCAGGGTTGGGAACAGCACCCCAAAGAGCGGAGCGCCTGCTCCATTACCTACGCTAATAACGGCGACAGCTGAGCGGAGATGACCCCCGGCCTCCCGTTTCGCCTCTCCTGTGCAGATGGCCATTAAAAGGAGAAAGTGTCCCCTTTTTTCAAGGGAGAAGGCATTTAGAGCCTTTTCCAAATGAGGCCTTTGCTTCCTCCCCCACTTACGCTTTTCTGGCACACGCTGGCTGTGAAGTAATTACGGTCCAGTCCAGATTTGCCCCCTCCACCAAACACCCACCCACCCAAACTGTAGGAGGGAGACTGCAGTGGAGGCTGCGGAATATCAGGAGTGCATTAGGTCCATGCCAGTTGGTCGCTGACTTTCAGCCATTTTGAAATGCAGACGGTTGTCTGGTGTGGTTGCAGTGAGAGCACTCTTTCAGGAGTATTTCCTTAACAGTTGTCACTTTGCAAAAGTTCAGGGGTTCAAATCTGTGCATATGCACATTCAATTTCTACTGCCAAATGCATAGTTGGAGGCTTTTTTACATCCAAATTGATTCCAATAAGCATACAAGCACAATCACGCTCTGCTTACCCAGAAAACATCCACACTGAACTGAATGAACCAAATAAATTCCAGTCACACCACGCAGGAAGACCAGTATGGCACCAGGTCAGATTCACCACTTTTAGGGATGAGTGATTCATGCCTATATATGTATGTGTGCATAAATATATGATGCCCAATCACACAAACTGTTTTGCTGTCCTGTTTAGTATTTATTATTTTGTGTATTTACTCTTCTGTATACTTATTGTTTGATAAATCTACTCTATATTCAGCACTTTATGCATAATATTGTGTATCTGCACTCTGTGTAGTTCTGTGTAATGTACTGCTGATGTGTGTTGCACCATGTGGCCTGAAGAACAACATTTGTTTCCAATATATCCGAGATATATTGAGGAATGACAATATAGACCACTTGACTTGAATGTGGGCTTCTCAAAGATTCACCAGTCTTAGGGACGAGTGTGGGCTCCTCATAGATTCACCAGTCTTAGGAACAACTGTGGGCTCCTCACAGATTCACCAGTCTTAAGGACAAGTTTGGGCTCCTCACAGGTTCGACAGTCTTAGGGATGAGTGAGGGCTCCTCAGAAATTCAAGAGTCTGAGAGTGTGGGCATCTCACAGACCCACCAGTCTTAGGGACGAATGTGGGCTTCTTACAGATTCACCAGCCTTAGGGAAGAGCATGGTGCTCCTCACAGACTCACCAGTCTTAGGGACAAATGTGGTCCCCTTACAGATTCACCAGTCTTAGGGACAAGCGTGGACTCCTCACAGACCCGCCAGTCTTAGGGACAAATTTGGCCTCCTCACATATTCACCAGTCTTAGGGACGAGTGTGAGCTCCTCACAGACTCACCAGCCTTTTTCATAAAAGTAGGCCTAGTCTATGAGAGCACCACGAAATGAAAGTTAACTTTGTTCCGGTCTGTTGAGCTCCCTTCCCAAAGAAGGCACCAGATAATTCAGAGTAATGAAAGATCCACTAAACAAACCGAATAAATGAATGAATTAAGAAGCAGCGAGAGCAGAATTCAGAGAGCCATGGACCGCCGGCAAAGAAAAGCGTGTCTGTTTCAATTTTGAATCTTTCCCTCCAATATTCCACCTGAATACCAATAGCAGATGCTGTGGGTGTGTTTGAATATTTAGAGCCAGGAAATATAGTGAGACCCTCTTCGACATTCTCAGACATCGATTAGTACATCAGCATAATTGCATATTTGAAATTGATTGCACACTACACAAAAAAGGACCGGTCAATAAGCCAGCACTTAAAACATAACTTCACATACTATATATATATATATATATATATATATATATATATATATATATATATATATATATATATATATATATATATCTGTGTTTATTCATTCAGTGTATGTAGAGATGGAGCTATGAAGATAAAACACAGTAACACAGGGCCAGGTGCAACACTAAACGTTCCGATCACAATATGCCGCAGAAATTAACATTTGATTTACTAAGACTGCAGCTTAGCCCTGCATATTGACTGATATATTGACATTGAAGAGGTGCAGGATTTACAAGGCACAATGAAACAAACTCGAAACAAAACAAAAACTGAGAGTTCAATGATAAAAAGATGGCAGTGTTAGTAAATGATGTTATTTCCCACCAAAACAGGCTTTATGGGTGTAATTCTACTCCAAAAACAATCTGTAAAATAATAACAAGCATGTATAGCAGCTATATCATGACATATCTTGCACTGTGCAAGATATACGTCTGATCCTGTTAATTGAAATAATGTTATTCTGTTGTTTAATTGAGCTCCACATTTCCAATATCTCTACCCGTTTTGTCCCACATTTTGTGCGATCCTTCTTCAAATGCATGTGCACGAGTTGTAGAAATGTAATGTCTATAAAAAGTTTTTCCATGCACATAGCCCATAAACTGCTCGTTTAGGTTTGTGCGGCGGTTTCATGCACAACTGGCACAAAAAGCTTAGTACATCAGGCCCATAGCATTTTAGTTTCTTCTGTTTTTTAGTCATTTTGATTACAAGTTTAGTCCTCCAGCTACATTACTGTTTACTGTGTCTTGTCTGTAGTCTGTGGATAATGTCAAAATTTGGGTGCTCATTTGAAATGCGGGTCTTTGATGGACTGGGTGGTCCTGAAAAGGATTAAACTTTGCAATACCTATTTCAAGGGGCAAGACATTAACATTGTTAATATGTTCTACAATGCTCAATTCTAAATGATTTATGATAACAAATAAATACATTCTCCTACAACTTCTAACCTTCTTCACTCTGACTGCCTTTCAGCCCAATCTTACCTTCCTCAGGCCCTTTTCCAAATCAGACAACTCTTGACCCTTGAAAACAACCCGCAATAGCAAAATTCATGCTATTCTCCAACAAAAAACGCCCACTCACCACCCAATTACCGTCTCACCCCCTAGCACAACATGCACAGATTAGACAGTACCAACAGTGCAAATATTGAGAAAACCTGGCTTGGTGACTCACAAGACAGCAGCACAGACTTTCAACATGCTTATCCAACATCAAGGAAAGAGCAGGTTTGTTGTTATGCAATCTTCTACCAACCCTCTGCACAAATCCTGCATCTGATTATGGTGATAACAATACTCTCCCAAACACCTAATAGCTAGTTTGTGATGGGTTAGTGCACCTCTCTGTTTATAAAGCTTTTCTTTGCAATGCAGTTTTCACTACACTACTGATTTCACTTGTTTCTGGTATGGACTCTTCAATACTACAGACCCTCCATGTCTCCATCACACTAACCTCAGCTAAGGTATCTGAATCTATCGAATCTCAGCTCCGCTTGCCACTCCATAGTTTCCAGAGTCATTCAAATTGTGTTGTTTTTAGAGTCCTTAAACAAAAAGTCACCTTCCACCTTTACTAATCTATTTCTGTGCCAACAGCAGGATAAATAAATTCATCAGAACCTCTGCAGAATAAATACATCTTAACTACAACTCTTTAACTACTCAGTCTCACATTTTTCCTTTCTCTGTCCTACTCCTTGCCTGTCTCATACTTGTCCTCAGGCCACTCACCCAGATAGGTACTATAAAAGAAAGTACACTCTTAACTTTCCTCTGCTGATTAAAATGCATAAAACATACTTCACCCAAAAAAATAGGCTTTAATGCAATTCCAATTTCATATGGTCAGCTTAGGCATAGACTATAATGGGCACTAGCTGCAGATGTGCAGTTTTTGGCCTTCAATACCCTGAAGACAATGGACTAGCTGAGTTTGAAGGCTGCTGATTAAGTTAGCATTGTGTTTCCCGCACTATTGGCAGTATATTTTGTCTGTTTTTTTGTGGGTTCATAATCACAGACTGGTAAATCGATGGTAAAACTGGTGTAAGATAAATGGTGTACAAGACAAAGAAGAGGGAGTATTCTGAAACTTACCAATCATATGATTGGCCACGTGAACCTGAATGTCCCATTCACTGTGGAAGACCATCTGACACTTTATGCACTGGTATGTTTTCTTCTGATCATCAAAAGAGAGAAAACAAAGTTTAAGTATGACCTATTTATGCTTTATTATCAATACATTTTCACTTTTACATGCATTAGATATGGTGTAACATTAGAGTGACCATATTTTGGTTTACAAAAAAGAGGACACTAGGGCAGAAGGGCAGCACTGGGCAGGCTGTAGAAAGCAAATGTTAACATGAAAGCAAAACCAAGTTAGACATTCTAGGCAATTTACAAATTGTGGCCGTATGCGGTTTTTAGGTTCCAAAAAGAGGATGTCCTGGAAAAAGAGGGTGTATGGTCACTCTGTGTAACATCAACATCTACTAAACGCTATTTCACTGAATTGCCCTGACAACAAATAAAAGCACATGCTGAACAAGCACAGCGATGTAATACACATGAGTACAGTAAGTCATGTCTTACCTCTTCACTTTGTGTTGGGCTCACCCTCAGCATGGGCGATCCTTGAGGAGTCCTTAGTTGACCTCCACTGCCCTCTCCAGTCTGATCCCTGTGCACTGTTGAAAGATGTGTCTGCAGCTCTGCTTCTGACTCAAACTTCACATTGCAGCTGGAGCACCTTGTCTTGGCAGCAGTGGACGATGTTGACGAAGAAGATGACGTTGAATATGAGGTGCCCTTTGCTTTCACCCCACCAGGGCTCAGACTCTCCCCTTGGCTCCATCCAGCAGCAGAGACAGTAGGTGTTTGTACCCCTAGCTGCTGCTGCTTTCCACCATTTATGGTTGGGCTGGAGCTCTTGCTACCAGCAGCACTTACACATGAGGCACACAGACCATATGGCAGCCCGTTGATGTCAAGCTTCACCAAGTCCTGTTTGGAACGGAACTCCTTTAGACATGAAGCACACTTGAAGAGCTTTTGGCTTTGGTGATGCTGGTGGTGTGTGACAGCAGAGCGACCACTAGGGTGATTGGTGGACATGGCTCCAGTCTTCTGCATGTGGAAGGTGCCATGGATCTTGAGCTCTAAGGTGGAAGTGACGGTCTGCATGCAGACCACACAGCGAAAGCCGGTCAGAGAGTTCCGCAAATCAGGATGCATCTGACAGTGCTCCAGGAAGTCTTCCTCACTCTGCAGAGGTAACTTGCAGATTCGACAGCTGCCTGTGTCCAGGCTTTTACTGTGAGTAACTTTATGCTCTGTCAGAGTAAGCAGAGAGGGGAAGCGCTCTCCACAAATGGGACACATGTAGTGTTTGACAGGTCCCAGATGAGTCTGCATGTGCTCCCGGAGCCCAGCCTCAGAGAAGAATGTTCTAGAGCAAACATTACATTTGTGGCTCCCCTTGATCATTTCTGCCTTTTTCTTGTGCATAGCACTCTCCCCTGGGCGGATATTGTGATCACGGAGCTGGTGATTGGTCAGGAGGGACTCCATGGTGTAGGACGCCCCACAAATGTCGCAGCTGTACATGACCTCAGAGGAATCAACATCCTCTTCGCTGCCATCATGGCTGTTGTGAGACTCCCCTGTGCCCGCTCCTCCATGGCTATTAGTGAGGATGCCCTGCAGGTCTGTCTCATCTTTGGCAACTGAGTCGCCACCACCACTTGTGGAGCCATTGGTGCCACAATTCTGGGCCTTACCCTCAAACACACAATGCTTCTCACGCAAGTGACGTTCAAGCAGGATAATGGCATGGAAAGCCTTGTTGCAGAAGCGGCAGTTGTACTTCTTGCTATGAGTGGTAATGTGGCACTGCAACTCCACTTCTGTGCCAAAGGACTCACCGCAGAAGATGCAGCGGTGCACTCGGCCCTGGTTTTCCAAGTGACTGTGCTTGACGTGCACTTGAAGGTCAGTCTCATGTCGGAAATCCCAGTTACAAGAAGTACAGCGGTAGATCTTCTTCTCGTTGCTGTGCTTTACTGCAAGATGGAGCTGAGTTGACACTTTAGAGTCAAATACTTCCTGGCAGAGAGTGCAGCGAAAGAACACAAAGGTGTGCATGTCAAGCAGGTGCTTCTGCAGGTCATCTACTGATGTGAACTGCTTGTCACAACTCTCACAGATGTAGTATGTGGAAGTGATAGTGAAGTGGACCGTCACATGCTTCAGCAGAGCCTCTTGGTTGGGAAAGTCTTTGTTGCACTGCGGACAACTGAGCTGTGGGAGCCCACAGTCAAGGTGAGTCTTCAAGTGCGTCTGGAAAAGATCTAGACTAGTATACTTAGCACCACATTGGTTACAGATGAATTCGCTTGCTGAACGGGAGGAAGTGCTGCCCTGTTTGAGAATTGTGGCCTGTTCTACAGATATGGGAGATGAAGGGCTGAGTGCTCTGTGGGTTCTTCTCCCATTGTTGATATAATTCAGGGCCAGGGGGATGTTCTTATGGTTCTCTTTAATGTGTTTGTTTAACTTCAGAACACTGTTGAAAATGGGAGAGTTGGTGCAGTACGAGCAAGAATAGACCTCCACAATGGGATCTTTGGGAGTGACTGCTAGGGGGGAGTCAAATCGCAAGCTGCCAGAATCACAGTGGGTCTGCCGGACATGTTCTTCTAGTGTGGCCTCAGTCAGAAATCCCATGAAGCACTGGGGGCAGAAAAAGGCATTGCTCTCCTTGGCGACTGGGCTAGGAAAGCCATGTGAACAACGAATATGTTCCTGTAGGGCATTGAGGTCTCCTAGCATCTCTGGACAAAAGTTGCACTGCAGCAGGGCATCAGACAGGCTAGCAAGTAAGGCGGAGGGATCTTCAGCATTGTGGACCTGTTTCAGATGCTCGTTCAAGTTGAACAGAGATGGAAGGACCTCCAAGCAGAACTGACAGGTATGGGCCTGCTCTGGTTTGTCCACATGCATGGTCTTTAAGTGGATCTGAAGAACAGCAAGACTGGAGAATACTTGCTTGTTGCAGTAGATGCAGCTGTATGCTACTTTTGGCTGTTTGGCAGGTCGTCCGCAAATATCCGTGGCATGCTGAGCAGCACGCTTTCTTCGTCCACGGGCTTTGGGCACAGTAGGAGCAGAGTCCACCATGGTTGAGCTGTCAACAGAAAGGTTTGAGTCTGGAGTGGTGCTTGAAACAGATGTATAACCCACAGTCAACAGAGAAGGACTATTGCTGTGGTTACTGGACTCTGGCAGTTGGTGGATGTCCATGTGGGCATACAATTCCTCCACAGTGGCAAAGTGCTCAGAACACACAGTACACGTGTTGCCCTTTCGGTCTCTGCCATGCGCTTGGTCAATGTGGCTAAGCAGAGTACCCTCATCACTAAATGGCTCATGGCAGTAAATGCATTGCAGACCAGGCCCCAGACTCCCTTCCTCAGGAGGTGAGCATTCCGGGTGGCACTCTGCAATGTGCTTCTGGAGCTCCTCAGGCACATCAAACCCTTCTTCACAGCGGCTGCATTTGCGCGTTTCCTTCAGCTTCCATTCCTCCGTTCGAGAGAGCCCCGTGCCTTGAGTGTCCTTCCCTCGTTCGTGCACCTGCATGTGTCCATGTAGGGAGCTGGAGGACAGAAACCCTCGGCGGCACACGGGGCATTTATGGGGCTTGTTTGCAGCGTGCGTCTTCATGTGGATCTTAAGGTGATCACTGCGCGAAAAAGCAGAGTCACACTCACCGCAGTGGTACTTCTTGTCGCCAGTGTGGAGCTTGACGTGTCGGTCACGGCTACGCTTGTGCTTGAACAAACGGCTGCAGAAGGTGCAGCTGAAGGGAAGCTTGTCACTATGGCTCTGTTCGTGGCGCTTTAGGAAGCTCAGACGACTGAAAGATTTGTCGCAAAACTGGCACGGGTAGGGCAGGCCAGGGCCTCCTTCGTCCTCACCAAAATCGTAGTCATCACCGTGGGCTGGAGATGTCTGGTCTTTGCTAGATGGTGAAGAGGCAGGCCAAGAACAGGAAGGGTCATCTTCTAGATCAGCACCATCTGCACAAAAAGACAAAAGAAAATGCTTTTTGTTGCAAATGCATACAAATATATACCCCTAGGCACCTGTAGCATTTCTAAAATTCAGTTCTGTCTTTGGCAAGCTGTACTAGTGAAAAGATATGAGCCAAGCACAACGGCGCACAGAATGTAAAAGAGAGGGTGAAAGAATGAGAGAGGGAGAGAATATTCAGTTAGAATGACAAAGTAGATTCCATAATAAAGGGTAGGAAATTAACCTTGTAGGTGGCCATCTAATGGCAATACCCACTGAGACAGAAAAAGCAATTTCTGACATTTCCATCCAGCAGCAAGCTGGGGTGGTAGGGAGGGGGTTTGTTTAGATGGACGCCTGGCATTAGGTAAATTACAACACTTTTACTTTTTAACAATTGCACTTATTCTTCTTGAAAATGAAAGGTCTCCAGGATATTGTTCAGTGACGTTCACATATACCGGTAAGGCTCAACAAGAATGCCATGAAACAATAAAACATATCAACGATATGCCTTAAAGCTACAATGAAACCTACTGGTCATATGACAGGTCTCATGACTTATCATGACATCGGGCTAAAAGGTATTAACTACACTGCTGCCCAAGTTATGAGAAAAAAGAAAAGCAATAAGTCAAATGTGTCTATCCAAAAAAAAAAGACATGAGGTGCATGACGAACCCTTGCATTAATCGTAACCTTAGGAAACAGCAGTCAATCAATACAGTTTAATTGTTTATTTTTTGCTATCTGATGTGTTGCTCAAGTTTGAAAGGTGACCGTCCACTTCTTACTTCAGCCCAAGTCTAAGCACTGTGACCTTCATGTTTAAATAAAAGTATAATCCTTTTGAACAGGGGAAAAAGAGACAGAAGGCAAAACTAAGAAAAGGAGAAAACAAGGGAAAAGGCAAGATTTATGAGACATCCGCGGGAAGGCATAAAACTTTGGATGTAATCTGCTGTTCATCCTTGGACCGGCTTGGCTTCTCCAGCCTTCTCAATTGTTTTAAACGCAGCGCTCTGCCTTCTGTCAGGATAACATGCCCTCTTCGATCACTTAACCCACTGTAGCATATCTTCAGGAAACAGATGAGGTCACAGGTCGACCCCCTGTTCCTCAAACTGCTGAAAGAGGCACATTGATGGGCTACCCTTGTAGCGTCCTCTTGCCGGAAACCTCCCACCCCGGGCAACATGCCAGCTTCACACAATCTCACCCAAGGAACACATTCTGACAGATTTTCCTGTTTTTTTAAGCATAGCTGGCTAAGTAATATATGGTTTAGCAGAGCTGTACAGAACAGTGTTTTCAAAGTGCTCTAAGAGCACCTGAAAAAAAGGAAAAAAAAAAAAAACGGCAGACACATTTTGAAAATGGACAGACTGAAAATACTTCAACTCTTGCTGTCTGCTTTTGAGAGGCAGTTAACTTTAACCATATTATTAGTTATTACGGGCACATTTAAACATTCATATACTTGTGTCTACTAGCTATACATTACATGGGAATTACTATAAATGCAGTCGTTCAGACTGTTTCAATCTGAAAATTTTTGTAAGGAAACTTTCCAAGATTTATTACAGTGATGATAGTAAGCAGGGGTTGCAATGGCTACAATGCAAATATAGCAAATTTATTTACTACTCAAAACCAGTAAACCTATGTGTCTGAGTTTTATATGTAATGTTGACATTGATAAAACAGTGCCAAATATGAAACAAAAAAGCATTCTTTGAAGACTAGTTTGCCTTACAGCACCCTGTATGCACCTATCCACCATGAGTAAATTTAAAATTAATTTTAAACCAGATATGACCGCAAATCTATCATAAAAAACAATGTCTTAGGCATCATTTATTGTTTCGTAATCATTTCATGCAGCTTTCAGAAAAGCTTCAGAAGTCTGGTTCCTATCACCACCACTGTGAACAATTCTGACTCTGCAAGTTTCTCTAGAACAGAGCATTTCACACCAAACCACTCTGAATGACTCTGTTTACATCTTAAACATTTAATTATGGAGAAATTTTGGAAAGTAAGGCACTCAAATATCTCTGTATCGGCTACGAAAAGTCTTCAAAACTACTGAAAGTTAGCTGTAGATGATCACGCATTTGTTGCTGAACAATAGACACTGAAAGCGACGCATGTTGACTCTTCTTCTTTGGGCCATCCTGCTGGTCAGAGAGAACCCGCCCCCAGACGAGTGTGTGAACACCAACTGAAGGGAGCAAGGGCAGCCTCTGGAGAGCTGAGAGGAAAAGAGAGAAGCTTGTTTTCCTCTTTCTCTCTCCTCCTCATCTGCTCTCTCTTGCTGGCCTTGTGTTTTTCCCCCACCTCCCCTCACCCTGACGAGAAATGTCCAGGCCCAGGACGGCCTGAGTAAATAAAAGTGAGGGCCTTCTTTTCCAGCGTCTCACCTCTCCCCCTTTCCAGCTAACGACAGCGGCCTGTGTGCGCCTGCCAAAGGGGATGCTGGGTGCTGCAAACCTCCACCCATCAGCTGAAGGCCCCGCTTTGTTGGGCTGCCAAAGCCTTCCTGAGAGTCCCCCCGGGCCAACAGCCTGCCTCGGCCTGGGAGGAAGACCTCCATCTTAGGGCCCTGACGCTGCTTCGTGATGCAGACCCCTTCCCATTTTTCCTCTTGCATGTTAATTTTTTTTGGCATACAGTGTGGCCTAGCTCTCCGAGCAAAACAACACATTTGTTCTGTTCCACACAAGGACAGCTGGATACCCGTTTGACATCTGTTTCAGCATATTTATTGGTAGGAGAGCGCTTGGGAGGAGACCGAATAGGTGCATAACAGTCTTGCATGCTCAGCTGCTAACGACAGACATGTATTCTCTCTTGGTTTGCTCAGATTAGGAGACAACAAACGGGTAAAAGGACCCGTAATCACAACGCATAAAAGCGAACCGCTTACTACGCTGAGAATCGGGTCTTAATATCAGACTGCATAGGACACAGCACGCCGTGATGTATTGTTTTTGCACCATTATTGAAATTTCAGCTACACTTCCATCCAACGGTTAGGAAATACTGTTTAAAGTTTGGAATCAGGATTTTCAACAGTATAAAACCAAATACACTGTATAAACAACAGGGTCCAAAGGCAAAAATGATTTGCATTCCTTTCTAACTGCATGCACCACTTTTCATTACATTATCATTAGTGTGAAAATGTAAAAGTTCTTTGAAATATTTACATGAATTTCCAATTTTTTTAGTATTTACTCTACCCCCCCTTTCACCTTCATGACAGAGTGGAAGTTGAACAATGACTGGAAGTTGATTAACTCAAACAAGCCGGTGATGAGTAGATCAGATCATGAGCGTCAATGTGTCATCGTGTCAATGAAAGGAATAAGCCAGAAAAATTCTGACCCTTTTCTACAAATTCTTGGTTTATTTCCAAGTTTAAATAAAAAAAATCCCAGATTTTCAATGTGCTCTCAGATTTTGGACCCCAGTAAACATGTATAAAATTATTTTATTATGTGACCCCTGTGTACTATGTGAGTCCTGTGTAAGTCCAGGTTATTATTTAATAACTTTCTGTTCACATAAATCTTGAATATGAAATAAAACCATCTAAAAACAGCTACTGGTGAATTGTTTGAATTCATATTTAAAGCTACACTATGTCGGTTTTGGGGATTTGAGACCTCTCTGGAGGAAATGTGTAATTATACGCAACATATATGCTGAAAGAGAACTCAAAAATAACTCAGCCAAAGGACGTGTCTTCTAGGAATGTAAGTGAATGATCTACTATTATCATCATATCTTTAACATTATAACATTAATTTTGCATTTGAGAAGTAAACATCAAGCAGGACCTTCTTTTTGAGCCTGAACATGTGACGTTATTACGTAAAAATATATGACGTAGTCTGAAAAACTGACTATATTATCATTTTAGGCTGTACACGGCGACTCGCAGCAGTACACATAACCCATAATAAAAAAAAAATCATACATTGTGCAGCTTTAAGTCATAAAGTATTTATAAATTGTTAAAATGAAGTGATTCCAAACTTTGAATGGTAGCGTATGTCTTTGCAATACTGATACTGCAGGAAGCTGCAATATGCAAATAGCCCTCTAACCAATCACAATGACTTGTATCGTGTACTGTGAGCATGCTGACCTATCACAGCCCCAGACAAGTGTTTCTGTAAGTGCTGTAATAACTAAAGGTATTCATACAATCCAATAAAAATCAATTATTTTGGTCAGAATAATACAGTCTTTAAATATATCATTATATATTAAAATAAAGCATGCTTATTAATTAAAATAATTATAATGACTACTATAATAGTAATGGATGGGCTGTTATTAGACTGTTATCAGTCACTATATGTGTAAAACTACTACTCCCATAATGCAGTTTAGCACAAAGAATATTTATTTATTACTATTTCTTTCTCTCTATTACAGCCTCTGTACTGTTTGTGTTTACAATGGATTTTACATCAAAGAAGAGAACACTGAGAAAGCTTGTCATTAATCTGTACTGGTATAACTATAATGCTAAACTGAATTGAGTTCTATTGCAATGTGTATTACATTCGCTAAATGTAGCAGCAAATTCACAAAATAGTATTTTGCCCGTATCGCTTGGCTCTATTAAGCTGTGGAGCTTATTGCTGAACATCAAGCAGAAGAGAAAGAAAGAGACATGCAGAAAGAGGCACCAAGAGAACAGGGTGTTGCTCTGGGCTGTGAGAGAGCTAATGAGAACTGCCGTTTGCTAATTGCCGCACTGTTCAGTTAAAAAGTCCTCTAATTCCTGGTCTGCGATTGTGACTGAAAGGATGTGAAAAAAACAGGTGAGAGAATCACATTCGGTGCACGTGAGTTCTGTGAAAAATGACACCTTAACTGGCGGTGCATATGTGTTCCGGTTCACCTGCGGTTTTGTTCCTTCCCTCAGTATTGCAGTCTAGGACCGTGAGTGCAAATCTAGAGTAGTATGCATAAACATAAGCTTAAA